CAAAAAGCCACGACGCAAGGGGAGCCGAACCATCAACCCCACCCTCACTGTCCGATTGCGAAACCTCCACTCTATCCGCTAGGCCATCCGATGCTCGACTGTGCTAGCGCTCTTATCGTTGATGAAACCATTGCAAGAAGCCGTTCACCCTTGAGCACATGACCCAAGTTGGAAGCTCACTTGCGGCGATTTTTCGCTTCGATTCAAATAGCCCCTTTATAAGGACCCCCCACTCAGCAACTGGTCAAAGTTGCAAGTGACCTACGCCGTATAGAGGCCCAGAGCGAAGCAGATTCCAAAGATTTCTTTTCACTCGTTTTTTACCTTTCCTGGAAGCGCGCAGCGAAAATGAAGCACACTTTTCAGGTCCTTGCATGAGCCCCTACAATATGCAAAAAACCGTTTTCGAAAAGCGCACCACGCCCTGAACGACCTCCCTTGTAAGGGTAAAATTAGTACCAAGTGTATAATAAAACGGATGATTTTAGCTTCAATGTAATCAGATTTCCGTATAGTGACACAAACATTTCCCTTATTAACAAAGCCTCTGTTATATATACGGAAACGTTGAGGTTAGCAAACACTTGTTCGTTCTTCAATGTTTTTTAAGCAATAACGGATATGGTCACGACTCTTTTGAAAAATGGCTACGAAGAAGATTTTATTATTACTAGCATTGTGAAATGTATTTACAAAAATAAATTTATAAGTTACAAATACTCTATTGCAAATAACTATAGAAAGATAAGTAGACTGGTTAGAGGTATTCTCATCGGCAGCGGTGTCCAACACTCCTTTTACCACTAAAATTTGTGATTCGACTTTTTGTAATCCGCCGCGGCGTGTTTTTGCTCAATATTCCCTTAGTTTGTTTAGCCCATCTACAACAATCCATTTTCTTCCTCTTACACGTATTTAGTACTCACACCTGTTATATCCTTCTTTCATTTTTCCTGTACAATTCCTTCTCATCTTTATTGCATGAATTTTGCATGTCAACTTTTTTACATTTTGCATGTCAACTTTTTTTTCTCGTTTTACCCTGTCTCTCAACTACTTCCTTTTTGTAATCCATGTCCATGTCGTCAATCCTATGGCACTGAAGAGCCCGAGGGTTGTAAGACCTCGATGATCCGTCTGTGATAGCGGGCTGGTCATCTGTGCTGTGGAGTGTATTCCTTCCCCAATATTGGTTTTTCTTTGTTTCTGATTTTTTGGATTGCGTACAATTGTTGACACAAGCTTCGAGGTCAAGGGACACGGGATTCTAAGAACTCATGGTATGCGATGGTCCTGCTTTGATTCTATAAGTGTAACGAGTGGCCAAGAGAGTTATAGTTTGAAGGCACTTCTCGCAACTAAACTTATTACAAGGGAAGGATGATAGGTCGAAGTGGCCATTTGAAATGAAATGTATACCGGCTGGAAGGTCTTCGGACGGGAATTACGAAACCGTCTTCCATATCTGCTGCGGACCTCCCAGAAAGAAGTTACGGAGCTTTTTGGGGGAGATACACTACAAATTGGCGGCGTAAGGCTGACGAGATCGTGGCAGCATGGCCGAGTGGATACGTCGTAGGGCTCACGGATGCGTGGTCGAGGGTTTGGATCCTTGATGCGTGTGCTCTTTTGCATTTTTTCGAAAGTGGTCCCTGTGCACTTCAAAGCTATTTTGCATAACACTTGTCCCTGATAATGTCGTGACGTAATGATTCTGAACTGATGGAGCCATTGCGAACCATTCCATAGAGATCACTTCTGGCTGTTGTCTTCTTCTTTCTTTGATTTGAAAAGCATACACAACAAAAGTGCATTCCAAAGGAAGATTTTGCCTTCAAATGACTTTATTCTCCAAACGACATGACTGGAAAACGAATCCGAACGCACGAAGTTGTGCACGAAGATGATTATAGTGGGGAAAATGCTTCCATATGAAGTGGCGTTGATGTGACAATCATGCTGCTGGAGATCGCGATGGGCAAGAGCTTCATTCACCACTCACATAATGTTGAATTATGTCTATCTCAAAGTGTTTTCGTACCTGCTGGAAGTTTTCGGCTCGTATGACAATCTTTTCAGCCGGAGGTGATCTCCATGAAATCGTTCGCAATGGCTCCATCAGTTCAGAATCATTACGTCACGACATTATCAGGGACAAGTGTTATGCAAAATAGCTTTGAAGTGCACAGGGACCACTTTCGAAAAAATGCAAAAGAGCACACGCATCAAGGAACCCTCGACCACGCATCCGTGAGCCCTACGACGTATCCACTCGGCCATGCTGCCACGATCTCGTAGCCTTACGCCGCCAATTCGTAGTGTATTCTCCCCCTAAAAAGCTCCGTAACTTCTTTCTGGGAGGTCCGCAGCAGTTATGGAAGAGCCGGCATACATTTCATTTCGAATGGCCACTTCGACCTGCCATCCTTCCCTTGTTAGGTAACAGATTTCAGAAATAGGTGTGCTAATTGCACCTTAGTAGTGAAATAAACGTCTGAAAATCCGTCCCCTATATGGCCCCCTTCTTGCGTTTGTTCATGATCACTGGACGAGAGTATGATGGTCAAGACCATCAGAATATGGCGATGCACTGCAGGCGGAGAGGGACCAGAAATTGACGAGTTCGAGTTTTGAGTGCAGTGCAACCTCTACAAACGCCTAACCGATAGGCTGATACATTCAAGAGGTTATAACTTTAATGTATCGCGGAAAGTGCCTCTAAGTATGACCAAGAATTTCGATGTTAGATGCACATACCCGTCTGGACCATCTCACGTCAGGTGAAAGTCGTGCTGAAACAGATAATAGTGCACATCAAAAAAACCATACGGTTTTGAGAGCGTGTAGCTGTGGTTTTTCCTCTCTGAACTACTGAAGGGATTCAATAGTAGCCGTCGCTCTTTGTCGGAAAAACAGCAGCCGTTGAGCGTTTACTATGTTAACTAAATTATTTTAGCACCAGTCGGATTGCCCAGCTGTCGCCGAGCGCTCCTGCTTGTGGGCTCGCCCGGCTCCACCGAGCTGCCTCCCCCCTCACTTCAACGCGTCCAGTATAAGAACAGATCCCCTCTTAGCTGCAGTTTTGGCTCAAGACATGTAGTAAGGATAGCTCTTTATCCAATTCATCAACTAATGTAATTACTTGTCACCTATCATTAAAGCCCGTACCCCTGGGTCTCCTAAATTTGGCACTAAGAAACCAATACCGCTTTGAAGAGCGACGATGGCGGGTACGCACCTTATCGAGTCCCAGCTTCTATAGAGGAGTCTCTATTATTCTGCACGAACCGTTCGTCGATTGGAGGGTCAAAACGGTGATCTCCACAAGGCCAGTGATCGCGCGGGAATGGCGCCTATAAATTGGAAGCTCCAGTGGCATTCGTTATTCATTTATTTGTTTCTTATTGATCTCACATACACTCTCCGAATAAACGTTTAATTACCCAAGTTTGAGGTCCCGCCACCGAACCACTATATGGTGCATCGCCGCCTACGATACGGACTCGAGGACGAATTGAAGATATGAATCAAGGACAGCTGAAGATAAGACTCGAGGGCAACCGAGGACATCAGCTTGAGGACAATCGAGGATATCAGCTCAAAGGCAATCAAGGAACGTTGGAACATTTGTCGATAGTCAATTGAAGGATCTCTCATGATTTCTACACTGGAAACTAGGCAAGGCCTTCTCACGCGCGCTAAATTGACAACAAGCGTAGTACAACCAAACTTCAAGATGCAGGACGTGTTGTGTTGATAGCCGACGCAGTTCTGCCTCGAAATTCCTGGAAAATGGGAAGAATCACCAAGGTGAACCAGACGGAGAAGGGAATTATACGAGAAGTAGAACTCCGACTGCCTAATGGGCGCACAATCCGTCGCCCTGTGAACCTACTGATTCCGCTAGAGATAGAAGACCCTCACCAACAAGTCACCAATGAAACGGCTACTATGCCAGACACGGCATGCAATAAGGAGGGCATAGAAAAAGAACATGAGGAGTCTCGCTACAACCTGCGACCAAGGAACAAGAGAAACGAATTCGTCATCAAACATCATTTTCAAAAGTATCGCAGCTACAATCATGCTTTTGATCGCTTTAGCCTCCCAGCCCGGATGGAGCAACATCACTGTTGCAGAATTATTACCAGCATTCAACAACTAGAACAATGATAAGCCATACTCCAGGAGGAATCCGGCAGGAAGTCAAGGATAGTCTGAGCAAGAATGATGTTACCCTAGCTTCCCCGGAGATGGCACCTCATGTAAATTATGAGCGATGGAAGCTCTTCACTAAAGATCGGTTGCCGGTACTTGATACCGCCCTCTATAACAACAGCGGGTGCTGGGTTGACACTGCAAACATTACCGTTTCGAGCTGGTTACCTACAAGTACGGAATCAGTTGAACCTCTGCGTAAGGAGGCAATCAACAAGGATACTTCTGTGAAAAGATGTTCCAATGTTCAAGGAACAAAGAAAGGAAACTCACAAAATATATTCTACTAGTTTCTTCACTACCGCCTAACCTATTAGCTATTCTACCTTTGTTCAGCATGGAGAAACCTACGTCAATCGCCACCACGGACAAGAACGTTGAAGTGCCAGCATCTCCTCGCAAGACCAAGCCAATGGTCATGAAGACAACTCGTCCAGATAAGCCGAAGCCTCTACCAGTGGCTAGCTCGGAATCTGTCACAACATCATCGGAGAGATAGCGGAAACGATACGCCTGCTCATCGTTGTCATCTGAAGGATCTCCCTTCAAAAAAGAACCGCGCATCTGGGAACCATATTGAAGGAACTACTCCAACAAGGAAGCAGAATCCTCCAACACGCCGCAAGCAAAGTCGATCAACTGGCCCCAGCGATCTCGGTGCTCCCATCTACCGAAACAACGGAGCGTCTGCACGAACAAGAACAGATTATGAAGGCATTCCATGGACAAAACCTGAAAATGCATCACGCAATGAAGCAAAAATCGAAAAAATCGATTTGAAAATGAGTCTTCTAAATGCTCGTATCGATCAGATGGACAAGGATTTCCGAAACGAAATCAAGCAGCTACGAGACCATCTCTCCCCCATGAATACCACACAACTATCCCTCGACGTCAAAAGTCTCTGCGAACAATTTGAAGAACTTAAACTTCGTCTCTCCAGTATCGATGTAGCAAGGATCACAACCCGTACCGAGCAGCCCAGTCACGACGATACAGCAAGGACCACCGCCCGCATGGAGCAACCGAGATCTGAGCTGGACAGAATTCGAAGGCAACTGGTCGAAACAGAGAAGGAGCTCCAGACGATTCGGAATGAAACGCATGAAGTCAACGCGCTGATTGAGAAGGAAAGGCAAAGGGACCGGAGCACTGCGGCTCTCGACGACTTGAAGGTGAAACGGCGCCGCCTCAGTCAAAGGAGTCGAGACTAGAACAGGAAATGGAAGAACTCAAGAGACGACTCGGAAGGAAAAAAGCACAAAAGCTCCGCTCGCTCACTACGTGGCAACATGCAGGAAAACAAAATGATGAGCATCAACACAGAAAAGGAAGATGACCACGATAGCAGAAGACGAGATGGACGTGAATCCAGACATCGACGAAACTCGACTTCTTCACGCGATCACGATTGCAATTAAGCGATGGTAATCCTTCAACTAACAATGGCCGGGAGTATAGAGAAGTCTCTATTATTCTGCAGGAACCGTTCGTCGATTGGAGGGTCAAAACGATGATCTCCACAAGGCCAGTGATCGCGCGGGAATGGCGCCTATAAATAGGAAGCTCCAGTGGCATTCGTTATTCATTTACTTTGTTTCTTATTGATCTCACATACACTCTCCGAATAAACGTTTAATTACCCAAGTTTGAGGTCCCGCCATCGAATCACTATAGCTTCCCCGTCCCTTTTCCCATATTACCTGTTGGAACTGACTTCCTACATTTGCTGCGACCTTCCTTAGGAATCTAGCAATTCTCTTCTTTTTGATTAGAAGGATTATGTCCCTATTACTGGTCGGATACTCCTTAACGGATCGTTGTTCCTTCACGCTGTCGCAGCCGACATGTTCTTCTCAGTAAGAACATGCCGCTTACTCACTCACTCCAGGCTACGATGTGACTATCTCGACGAGTGACTGCCAGTGTACCAATGAGGCACCCTGAAAGGGAGAAGAGGGTGGGTACGTCACACTATCATTGGAGCTTCTTATTGATTAATGAATATCTGTCATAAAAAGGCCCTCCCACCCTCTCACGTATGCAACAGAGGGACGGATAGTTGCGGCCGCTTGTGCAGTGCTTGTGTTCCAGCTGATTCTTTGTGATCCGCTAGCAGAGCAAGAGAGATCATAAGCCAGAGCTGCTTGCTTTTATGGAACATTTTACACCAAACGCTACGCCTCTACCGCGGTGTGCTTCACGCGCTACACAGCGGCGAATTAAGGTTGTCCGAATATCTCCCATGGAAATTGCTTCAACCACTAGAAATAAAAGCGTCATAGTCCGGGATGGGGGGGGGGTGTGGCCGATGGTCCTTAGTAAGCATATCACCATTAACTTTAGGCTGCACGCCGTGTCATCAACTGTTAATGCTCCAATGACACACGTCACTTATGGGCGTAGGCAACACGATGCTGCTGCGACGAGATTTCCGATTTCCTGACAACTCACGCACGTACCGTACTGGGGAGGCTGTGCATTAAGGACCGGTAGGCTTCCATCAAAATCAAGCTATTAAGGCGTGGAGGTAGACAGCGGAACAAGAAGCTGACTTCAGTATCACAGCCAGTAACGTGCACCAAGATGGTGCCCAGTAAATTGTAAGTCCGTCGCAAGCGCGTCAAAAACACCAGCACTGATGTTGTGACCACGCAGAAAATTTTCTTTGTCTGGGTGAAAGAACACTGGTGTGTTTTGAATGCCGGTAACGGGCTGTCGATATCAGGTAGGTCTGAATTATCTTTCTGTTACCCTTGCTTTCAACAGTTTGGCGGTACTATACAATGTAAGATGAAAACAGCTTTCCGAGGTAGCCAGGATAAACATTGAATTCATTTTACAGGCCTGCATCTGATAGCTTGACACGTCAGTGGGAAGGAGCAAGAAAGCAATCTGCCCCTTGTCGCCGAACGTGGCCGTTTCTCGTCCGTCCCGAAGTGATAGCTTCTTATTGCGATTTTTCTCGTGAATCAGTATGGCCTATCGATATCATAGGCGCTGCGGTGTCGACTTATGTTAATGGTGTGCATTATAATAATGCACGCAAGCATATTATCTGTATCTTGTTATGATTTAACATTTAGCAGTCGTTAATGCACCGGCAGAAGAGCCTGAAGCTATTCCCTTTTGCGGAGAGTCAAAATATATTGTCATGATCAAGGAGAGCCTTCGATTCTTGTTCAGATCTACAAATCATCCATTAGGCAACATCTTCCTTTCCTATACTACTTCTTGCTCGTCAAGATGCTTATGTAATGCCTTCTCACTTTATCTCATTCTAGTGATTTTCTTCTCTTCGTTGAACTTCACTACTGTTTCTACTTATTGGGTCATCTGATTCGAGCATATGGAGACCTAGGCGAACGATACGGGGATCTAAGGTTGTGGGCTCCTGCACGTCTGAAAGCTAGTATATTAAGCCAAGAAATCATAAAATTTGGTCAACATACAGGATGGCTAATAAAATGACACATTAGCAGAGTCAAATATCAATAAAGTTTACGCAGCTCAGAGAAGAGACGTGGATACGAGCTAAAGGGGGGAAGAGACCGAAGGTGTTTCTCAAGGGGCGGGAGCTGGCTCTCGTTCATCACCTTCATGTATAATACACCAAAATATGAATCTCCAACCGCAGTGAGTGGAGAAGGCCTCGAAACAGCTGCGAAACTTCTTGAATGGTCTCACCATGGACAGCTACCTGGAGACTGGCACTCTTGATCTGGAAGACCTCCAACATCGAGCAGATTGGACAAGGCTACGAGTCCAGGATATCATCTTCACCGCAGTCGCCAAGGCGCGGGTTGATGAGCGGGAAATTCCTGGAATGGAAAGACCGATATTTTCTTCGTGGACCCCGGACTGAAGGTGAGTGCCGGCGGCTATCGGCCATTACCAAGAAAATATCCTGCCCTCACGTCGTCGCTCGTACCACCCTGGAAACTTCGTACTGCTACAGGTTTGGTACCACCACACGGATTCAAACGGCATTGCACAATGACCCGCGTTCTCGGAATGGAAGGGTGTTGAGTATTTGAAGAAGAAGGAATATTCGAGTGTGTCGGCTGACCTGAGCCTGCCGCGATTACCGGACTCGGGCGGAGGTCATGAGGCTGGTCTACAGTGGCGGGAAATCAGCAACCTAGCTGAATTCAGTCACCGAATCACGGCCGCCGGGAATCTCTCGATGGCGCTCGTTCAGAAGCTGTGGCGGAGTTTCGTGATGGTGTACAATGTGTTGTTGAATATGATGGTGGAAATGTCCAATCAAAATTTAAGAAGTGTATTTCACATCGCCTTGAAAGTCGAGATAGACAAGTGCCTTTTTCTAGTGGGCCCACCCCGTGTAGTCACAGAGGGAAAACTCGAGGGAGTGGGAAGAAACTTGAATGGTGAAATCAGCGATGAACCGGGCGTCGCATACAGTGTACTTAATCGAATGGTTGGGCGTGTCAATGCGGCTGCGTTTGGCGCGGTGCCAAACTCACTCACCCCCGGTCGCTGGAAGCGGGCAAACGACATGACTGTATCATATCCTTCGTATTACTCGTTTTCTACCACTTTTTGTCGCATGCGCGTTTCAACAAGAAGGCAGAGAACGGCTTTGACGGGTGACACACTCATACTGGCTGACACGCCCAACCGTCCGCAGCGAACTAGAGTGTATGCAAAATGGTGCGCTGGTGACCTTGAGCTGGACCAGTTGCACAAATAGCTGTTCACGAATCATGAGAGATTTTGTGCATAAGTTAGAGAGTGAAGAGAATTACAGACCGAGGAGGCTGTCACAATGATCACCCTGCACAAGAAATACTGTTGCGAGCTTCCCCGCAAGACTGACATTTCTGCCGCAACTGTTGGCCGGGACACGCCAGAAAAATTTAGGGTGCTAAGAGTAAATCTTTGGGTGCGTCAGTTCATTACAGATGCACGAATGCACATCGTTCCTGCAGCAATGTTTTCGAGACTATGGAACCGGACCCCGGCGCAACGTGAATTACGGGGAGTCACGTACTCCGAGTCCATACTCACAAACCCCGGCTTCAAATAGATGCAGATGACAAGCCGTCACAAGCACATTATGAGGAGTTACGTTGGGGCAAACGCGTAATCCTCTCGGCAATGGATTCTTGCACTGTACCTTCAAGCAGCCCTATCCAAGTTACAAAACTGTCGCTGTCGACGGGTACTGTCTGTTCCTCGTCGATTAGATCGTGGAGTGGAGAGCATCGCACAACTACAAAAAGGCAATTACTTTCATCACAAATCCATGCTCCAGCTTTGGGCAGTCCTGACTAAAACTGTAGCGGGACTTGGATTCAGTCACTTTACTGTCCTCTGCCTACACCCATGCGATTTCAACTGATCTGGTCACTTTGAAGGCAGTTGGCACGATCAATCCTTCAAGACGACTAGTATGCCTGGCAGGACAGAATTCCGCGACCCTGAGCAGGCGCTGCATAATGCCTTTTCCAAGGGAGGTGCCCTTATAAGGGCCCTATCAAGCCACAACATTCCGACCCAAACGCCCGCCCGCCCACAAATGGACGACCGTTCCTGACGCTCTAATCGATTCATTTGCTAAGCAAATTATGAAGCGAAGGATTGGTATGAAGCGGCCGTGATGCTGCATGGATATATGAGTACACATATGCAGCCGTACCTTCGGTAGCGGTTATTGGCAAGATGCCTACGGGAAACTCGTCCAAAATCGATTACAACACACTGAGAACGGAGGCTTTTTCTTCGCAGGATTTTGACCGTTTCACTCCGTTCTTTCGCCATTTCCCCCACTATATAGCGCCCTACTAGCATTTTAGGCCGAGCACCAAATCATCGTGCCAACTGCCTTTGAGGCGCTGTCAAATGCCAAACGCTACGACAATTTGTCGATCGCAAAAATCAGCATCAACCGCAGCTTACTCGCACTTAGAGGCCAATCCTCTAAACGAAACTTGGGCTCCGAAAGCGGGTCATTCATGAAGAGAAATCTACTTAAATAAAGTTAAGTCAAGTCATTTTGATCTTTTTTCTCCTTCGGTTTATTTGCATAAAACAATCTGCACCCTTGAATGAGATGACCTACTATATTTAGTTATTTACTACTATTTGTTGACTCTGATTTGGGCCATTGTTTGTTTTGTTGCCCACACACAACTATTCGTGCAGCAACTAGTAATGATTATTACATGAAAATGACGCCCAAAGATGGTTA